TAGGGAAAGGGACTCTTGTCATGGACGATGTGGACAAAAACTGGGAGTAGTAGGTGGTGACACTGACCTCCTGTGTCCCTCGTTTCTCAAAGGTAGGAGACACTCAGTCCTCATGGGAGATGTGGCTAGAGACAGAGGTAGCCTGAGTGGGCCCTCATGGACAAACCATAGCTTGTCTGCTGGTGGCCCTCGGTTTGGATGGTTCGTGTCACAGGGGGCAGTAGAATGAACAAGATGTGCGTGGCCCCCCGTGTCCCACTCCCTGACCAGGCCCTGCTGCGTCCAGCCTCCAGGTCCCCCCCTGCACCCCACGCTGCTCCTCACGGCCCCACCCACCAGGGATGTCACCTCAGATGTGAGGGTTTTGTCTCATTGCTTCCCAAGACCCAGCCAGAAGGGGTGGTGGGAATCTCACGATTACTCATTCACTGCTTTAGACTAATACTAATAATAGCTAGCACATACAGCACTGAACTGTGACGTGATTGAAAACTGTGGCAACTGTTCAAACAGTCTGAATCCTGTTTCCTGGTGACTTCGGGGTCCAGCCTTGGCCTTCTGTTGGGTACACTGAGGAAACAAGTCTGACGCGAGTACATCCGTGTCCCCTCTCCGCCTGTCCTGTCACACCTGGGCTTTCTGAGCAGCTGGTAGGGGCCCTGACTTATTGCTTTCCTCTCCTGGTTCTCCCTTAGTGCCTGATCTGGATCTGTCCTAATTACAAAGAGTTCTGTAAAGGATTTTGCTTAAATGCCAACCTGCCTGTAATTCCCAGTGTCAGTCTGTGAAATCTGATTTGGAGGTTAAAAGGAGAAACAAACCGAGAGGACACTTGGACTGATTTTGAATACCTTGTTGGTTTCGCAATATCTTACAGATCTTTTCCATACTCCTGTTCAACACTCAGAAGGAAAATTGCCACTCTGTGTGACAGCTTTACAAGTAAATCATTAAACGAACATATTTTCCCTCCTCTGATGCACATGTTGATTTTTTTCAACTTTTGAGTATGTACCTTTTGTGAATTTGCCTTTATTTTTTTTTTCCCAAATAGAGAACATACTGCCCTTACAGTTATGGCATAATGAAAAAGATATGTCAGTTATAAAATTGTGGCTAGACTTAAATGGTCTGAAACCTATTTAATATTGGCTTTGGGGTCTAGGATGAATCCTTGCAAACTGTTGGGATAGATAGAAAAATATGGCCTTGTGGGTAGGGTTTCAATTCAGGAGCTCAGTCTTCAAATTGGCTATTAATCTTACTGCTTCCTGTATTCTGTGCCTTTTCTCTTCCTCTTCTTGCCTGTATCCCTTGAGAGAGAGAGAGAGAGGTTGATGTGAGAAATCTATTTTCCCATGTTTTTTCTACCAAGTGCTGCGTTACTCAGTGCGACACACAGTTCTTCTAGAGCACAGGTGATGCTCTCACCTGCATGTCTCCAGGTGTATGTTTATCTTGGACATTTAGTGGCTTATGGCTAATGACTGGGTTTTACTTAGTGCAAAAAGTAACTCATGACTTAAGTAGCAAAATACTCATTACCTTCTTCTAGACCCTCTTACTTTTTAGGTGAATGGTCTCCTTTGCTTTTCGCTTGAAACGGGGATGAAGATTGAATAAACTCCATTAGAGGCTATATATAACACTGGTGGCATTTTAAAGTCTAGCTTTAGTTTTTTTGGGGGGGGGGCCAAGTCTTTTGCGGTCTAGTCCTAGTTTATAAAATAAAATACTTTGCTTGGAATTGAGTGTAGTAGCTTGCAACTTAGAAACATGTCAATCATGAGGCTAATTACTTTTATTGATTGTGATTAAAAGACATGGAATTTGATTCTGGGAGTTGATAACGAATTCTCCTTTCCAGTCAAAGCACCATTTCTTGTGGATTTAAAGAAACCGGAGTTAAAGATTCCTCACACAGTGAACTTCTACATCAAAGTTGAACCTAGGTGTGAGTCTGGGAATCTGGTGATTGCACTGATTGGACCCTGGGGTGCTTGGTGGGTGTGGCTTTCATGTCACAAGGGCAGAGGTGAGCAAGTGCTGTGTTACTTGCCTGGGGAGAGGTCGGTGTTCCTTGGAGGAAGCTGTTCCACACACCTTCCCTTTATATTGAAGCTTGACTTGCTTGCATTTGCTTTTCAGGAATCTTATGTTGGAGTGTGGAGTCTTTCAGGTGCCTTGGGTCTGTCTTCTTCCCTGCCTTATGCCTCACCCCCTTCCCACCCTGCTCCAGACCCACTGGCCTCCGTGTATAGAAGCCATGCTCTGTCTGCAACATTTCTCTCTCTCTGCTCCCTCTGCTCCCTCCTTTTGCCTAACTAACTGCTTACCCATCTCTTGGGTCTCATTTCAAACGGTAATTTTCAGGAAAGCCTTTCCTCACCCCATTTTCGGCATATGTTACTGCAACCTGTGCTTGTCCTTTACTGCATTTATCCCCACTGGAATTGAATAAGTGCTTGTGTGATTATCTGATTAATGTCTGTCTTCCTTATGAGACAATAACTCCATAGGTGGGGGACTTTGTTGGTGGGTTTCCATTGCTCAGCACAGTGCTTGGCAGAGGGCACTCCATAAATACTTGTCCATCAAGGCCGCGAGCATCCTACTGTCTGTCTTGCTCTGCTGATCTCAATATTTTCTTCTGTTTGGTTCACCTACTTGTTCATGGCTGCCAGTTTTCCAGTGCCCTGTTTTATATTTTATCTCCCTGAGTTTAAACATGTGATCACAGAATGTTTAGGGGCCAATATGGATGGGTTCACATAACTTCTTCCTAATCTGCAGGGTACAGTTCCACTAATAGTGTTGGAATTTGAAAACATCTTTATTCTTTACTCTTGCCCCATCAGTCCTTGTTTGGTGAGTCAGCTGTCCTCATGACTGGCTTATCTAGCTGGCAGCAATGCCGGTCTTCGCAGTACAGAGGCCTTGGGGTTTGATGTCAGACTTTTTGCCTCTAAATGATTGAGAGACTGGGACTTCCCTCGTGGGCTGGTGGTTAGGACTCTGCACTTCCACGGTGGGGGGCATGGGTTTGATCTCTGGTTGGGGAACTAAGATCCCACATGCTGCACGCGGTGTGGCAAAAAAAAAAAAAAAAAGATTGAGGGACTGAAGATTTATCATCACATGGCCAATTCTCCAGGTCTCCTGGTAACATGTCATATGGCAGTGTTTGTGTTAGCAGGGTTCATTCATTGGTTTAACAAGGTGGAGGAACTGGAGCTCACTCAGGTGTTTAAAATCACAAGGTCACTGGGTTTCTTGAGTAGAATAGCTTAATTTCATGTTCAAGTTCTTTTCTCCTACCTAAACTGGTTTCCCTTTGTTTCCAATTTGTTTCTTCAGCCAAGCAGGTGGCAAATATCTATTATCTTTTACTTGTTTCCACCCAGTGGATTGCATTTCAATAAACCACACCTAAGAACTGCAGTTTTGGAAGCATGATTGGTATAGGAGTCAGAAGAACTAAAACAGTAAATGGTTAAAAGGGGTTATCTCTGGGCATGGGAGAGGTGGGGTAAGGCAGTAGTGGTTTTCATTATAAGACGTTTGTGGCATTATATTTTTACTATGTGCATATATATTATGCAGATAAATATTTGTATGTAAATATAAATATGTATCTGATTGACATAAGGAGGGTTTCAGACTTTGGCAAGGATAGAGAAGTCTTCTCTCTGTCCATGTTGGCTGAAACCTTTCCTTGCTTTTCAGGCACACAGTTTCTAGCTGCCGGTGGGGGGGAGGATGCTAAGGGGAAGGGCCGTAGCTGCTACGAAGCAGCCCTCCATGACGGCAACCCAATTATTGTTTATCTTCATGGCAGTGCAGAACACAAGTCAGTTGCCCTTGCTTGGATTTTTTTTTTTTTTTTTACAGAGTGAAAGAGTATTTCAGCCCTGTGGGGGAATGTAAGGCAGAGCTCAGGTTTTAGGTCTGTAAGCATCCCTTCACATATTTTTTTCCCTTTGTTGAAATTTGAGGGTGTTCTGGCAATAGGCTTCTCTTTTAAAAAAATCTATATATTCTATATGTAGTATAATGTGGATCCTTAACTGAAAGGGAAACTAAATTCCAAAATTTGGATACTGATTTCAAAGAAGGCAATGGTTCCTTTACTCCCTAAGAGTGTCGGAAATGATGGATCAAATCCATGGACGACTGGGTAGGGAGTAGGCATGAGGTATGGAGAAAAGGAAGAGCAATTTCCACATCAGTGGTCTTCTCACAGAACCACATGGAGATTCATTTATTTGGCATGAATCCTATTAATCAAAAGTATGGATTCCCTAGGAGAGATCACCTGGAATTCTGATCACGGCTACTGGGGGCCACCTGACTAATTCTAGTCTGGAATACTGATGCCTCGGCCTGCTCTCTGTGGTCCCAACCTTGCTTGGAAACCAAGAGCACCTCCCAAAAGGCTGGCTGTCCTTTGGTGCACTGCCAGTCCCTCTGTGGGCCTGTGTCGTTATGGTGGGTGATGAGTATTGGCTGTGACTGCGGGTCTCAGCATGGGGGAGGGGCGATGTGCCTTAGAGACCCACAGACCTCGCTCTGTCTCTGGGAGGACACTTCAAACTCAGTGACAAGGTCTGGAATCTGCCCTTCGGCTCCCTTGCCTCTGTCTCTTTTACTCACTGTCTTTTTGTGTCAGACGATGGCCTTCTCAAGACTTGCCTTTGCTCAAGGGGCTTTCTTGAGGTGTATGTTTTAGAGTCACATTTACAGAGACTTCCTGTGAAATCAACATTTTTCAACATTGCTTAACACTGTTCTGATTGTGTAAACTTGGGCACGGTGTTACAATGCATTTTTATTTAAAGGGTCATGTGAATCACATAGTCACGTCTGCCCTCTGAGTGAATCGCTCTTGCCCTCAGTTATCCCAGATTTCCTGGCTTGGGGTCAGCTGCACCTTCCTCTGTCTCCTGCCTGGAAGTCTCAGCTTGCTCTCAGCAGTACTGAGCTGGAAGGAGGCCAAATGACAGATCGCAGGGAACCTTGATGAAAGCAGTGGTTCTATACTTGGGATCCATGGAAGCCCCAGAGGGTCCATGAACTCCCAAACCAAAATTGTACACAAAATTTGAAGAGTGGATACATTTTTCGGGGCAGCGGGTCCATAGCTTTAATTACATGTTCAAAGGGCTCCATGACCCACTAAGGTTTAAGAAACTTGGCTCTAAAACCAATTCAAATGCTTTTTTAAAGAATCCTCTGCCTTTTGAATCATCTTTATCTCCCTTTTATGTGGTTAATAGAGAGTAGACTGTGGTTCTTTTGGAAAAAAGTATTTCTTGTACCTCCAGGGCTGTGAGTCTCTCTCCTTCACTTCATCTTGCACCTCATGGCAGAGTGGACAGGATGCAGGCAGATCTTCCTTTAGTGAACTTGATTATATCATCCCTTTTTCTGAAAAGCCACTTTCTGGAACTTATTTTCCTTTAGCTTCTAGAAGTATTCTTAGAAATAGGTTTTGCTGTGCAGCAGTGAAAGGAGATGGATTGTCAGCGGTTCAATCAAATGCTTACGTTGAGAAGCGCTAGCGGTCCGGGCAGCCGGTGCTCACTTGGGGGAAGGTGGCAGCAGAGGGGAGCTGTGGGTCATTCACCCTGACACAGGCGCGTGGGCTATGACACCAAGAAGCATTGCCCTCTCTCCTGGTTATTTGTCTAACCTGAAAAAGAAAGGCGTGAGATCAGATGCCAGCAGCATGGTAGTGATTTTTGTCACAGTGTTTGGACACAGGCAGGCCCAGGTGTGAATCTTGGTTCTGCTGCTGGCCAGTTGGGTGTCTGTGAACAAGTTACTTAAGCTCTCCAAGGCTCGGTTTCTTTCTCTGTAAACTGTGGAGAACACATACCTTGTAGGACTGTTGTGAGAATTAAGTAAAGATTTAAAAGTGCCTGCACAGTAAATTTTTGTCCCCTTTTATCTCCCTTCTCTTCGTCTATCATTGTATTTTTTTTTTCATTTAAAATTATGTTTTTATATTCTTTTCTCATTTATCTATTTGGGGCTGGCAGTGGTTTCATGTAACCAAGTGATCTCTTTATTTTTGATCAATATTAACTCTTTATCTGTTCATACTTAATATAAATATCTTCCCGTTATTTGCTTGCTTCTACTATAACTCTGTGTGGAGTTCTTATCCTCCAGGGAATTCCTAAAAAAAACGCATTTACTATGTACCAAGGTACTACATCATGTCATGCAATCTTCCAACGATCCTGAAGGTGTTATTTTTCACTTCTCAGAATATATTTAAACAGTTAGATGTTAAGTGGCTTTCCCAAGGTCAGACAGCTGGTAAGTGACAGAGCCAGGGTGTGACCCAGGCTGTGTGGTCCTATTCTGCCATGCTGCTTTCCTTCTTTCCCATTGAGCCTGATCTTCTCAAGTTTGAAGTCAAACACCAGATTTCAGAAATGCATTTTTCCCTACCTATTAAGCCATCATAACCAGGATTATGGAAGTGTTGAGGAGGTGAGACCACCTTTCCTGTTTACATCTCCTAATTAAAGTGATAACAGCTCCTTTGTCATCTTAGGTGCTGAGCGACGGTGGTTTTCATGTCTTGTCTGTTGACTACGGAGGTATGTGTTAAGAAAAGTGTACAAAGATCTTTCAGTAAGAAGGGGCCTTTTGATAGCCCTCATTTTGGAGGCAGTGATATTGTGTTTGCCTTTCCTTACTGCCAGGGTTCGGGGACTTGACGGGTAAACCCACGGAGGATGGGCTGACTGTGGATGCTGTTTTTGTCTATGAATGGACCGAGGCGAGAAATGGTACCACCCCTGTGTGTCTCTGGGGCCACTCTCTGGGAACAGGGTGAGTGGGGTCTGAAGATGGGTGCTTAGGTGGGTCCTTGGGGCGTTAGTGTCATATTATAGGCAGTAGTGGGCAGCAGGAGGACCCTTGAGCTAGGAGATGGTTTCTCTCAGGTTCCACATGTGGCTAGTGACCTTACACCTCAGCATGCCTGTCTGTAATACAAGGGAGGGTCTAGCTCTCTGGCTATCTGTGACACTGAAGCCCATTCCAGAACTCTCCTTGAGAGTTTTAAATGAAAGCATTCTTGTTTAGGGGCGGTGGAACCCCTTGACATCCTGTGCAAAATTTTGTGTCTGTGCACATTGAGGGTCAAGAGCTTTCATCAGATGCTCATACTGGATGTTGCATTTTGTACTGTTTAGTTGACTGTTAAGTCACTGCTTCGCATATGTACTGATTTTCATTGCTTTATAGAGTTGCAACAAATGCTGCAAAAGTTCCAGAAGAGAAAGGTATGATAAAATGCTTATTTTACATCGTATAATTTCTTGGCTTGATGTGGGAAAAGAAAAACAGCGACGAGACTATTGTGCACAATCTGAACACAGGGATACCTAAAGCACCCCAACTTTAGACAGTTCCTGAGAGTCTAATAAACTCTCTTTTTTCTATTTAATATACACAATACCTGCTTTTCAGAGTTATGAAATTAAAAGTAAATACTAAGGAGTTAAAATTACCTTAAAAGAGCCCTCACTGTGAAGTGATAATAAGTGTTGTTATGGAGTAATCTGGATTACAGGGGAGGAAAATAATACATTATGAAATAATAGGCAGGACTTGCTTTCTGCAGCCCTCCTTACATAATATTTATATCAGTGTTTCTCAAAGTGTTCTGAGAACTGCCTTTGTCATGATCTGCAGGGGGTGTTTGTTAGAAACACAGGTGACAGCTAGGTGGATCCTAGCTGTCTTCATAAACTGGAATCTCTGTGACTAAGACCAGGTGATCTTGATACATGTTAAAAGCTTGTAATCACTTGCGTATATCTTAAACTTTACTTGGCAATACAGGTCAGGGTGAGTTATGGTAAACATTTTAAAGTGTGTCACCTGCTATACACAATCTTAATTACTTATGGAAATAAAAGAAATGTCATTTCATTGGTCCTCTAAACTCTCATGGCTCCTTCAATGTTGACAATGCTGAATTACCTGAATTAAATTCCCACATAAATGAATACTTCACTTCCTGGATAATGCAATTACCTTAGAACATTTTAATTACATTAAGTCCCCAACTTATGAACTCTTGCTACCATGTATTTTAATTTTCTCTATGTTACATACTCCATAAAAATTATTATTCCCATACTATAAAGTCAGTATTTAGATTTACCCTTTTCTTTGCTGTTTATTATTTCCAGCATTGCTGTGCTTCCATCTGGGATTTTTCTTCCACCTGTCTGTTGGTGAAGATTTCTCTCAGTTTTGGTCTGAAAATGTCTTTATGTCATCTTCATTTTTGAAGGCTATTTTTCCTGGGCATAGAGTTCTAGAGCAGCAGTCATTTATTTCAACCTTTCTAAGATGTCATCCACTTTGTTCTTGCTTTTACAGTTTCATTAGAAAGTCAGCTGCCAGTCTTACTGTTGCTCCTTTAAAGATAATGTTTACTTTTTCTTTGGGTTATTTTTGAGATTTCTTTTTTTCTTTGTTTTTCAGCATTTTTACTCTGATTTTCCTAGGTGTTCTTGGTACTTATCCTGCTTAACTGTGGCCTGATATTCATCCATTTTGGAAAATTGTTGGTCATGATATCTTCAAATATTATGGTAATGTTATTTTAAAGTACATATACGGTAACTCCAATGTTTAGATCTTTTGTTTTCAGAGGGAGTGTTGGCCAAAACAACCTCGTCAGCCTCTGCCGAACACTCTGCCTTCCTGTAGTACTTTGCTTTCTTAAATTATCCAAGTCATGAAAATCTGCTTGTGTTTTAGAAGAAGTTAGTGGTTTTCAATTATCATGTACCTAGGAATGAAATCTCTTTAGCGAGGGTGCTAGTTAAAAATGCACATTCTCACACTCCCCACCCCCTAGATACTGACTTCTGACTGGACTCTGGTGTGGGTTCATGAATTTGCATTATTAATAAGATTCACAACTGATTTTGATGCAGGTAGTTCATGTACAAGACCTTGAAGATCCCTTATTTAGGAAAGATAGTATTGAAATATGATAGGGGAGTTATTTCTTTTTTCTTCTTTTCAAGGATTTCCAGTTGATGCTATTATTTTGGAGGCTCCATTTACCAACATATGGGTTGCAAGTATCAATTATCCCTTGTTAAAGGTGAGTCTCTGATAGATCTTTACAAGGTGTCAAAGTGTAGGTTGTTTCCACACACGTTTATTAACAATTTTCCTTTTCTTAACTAGTTTTATATATTTCTAAGTTATTCTAACTTGTGATAGGTTATTAGCCAGTTGCTATTAAAGGGGGGCACAATGGCTTTTGGATTTTGTAGTCCTTTTATTTCCTTCTAATAGATTGAGCCAAAGCTTTTTTTTCCCCATTAACTAAACTGTACCTTGTATCTTTTATAATTGTTTTCATAGATAGACTTGACTTAGGTTTGTTCGTTTATTTATTATCCCTTTTAAAGTGAAAGCAAACCTCTCATACATCATTTTCAGCCCTATGAATGTCAACCACATCTTTCATTATTTTATGAGAAGCAAGTCTCTAGAGAATTCAAGGAAGTTGCTGAATGGTTTTACACAGCATCCCAGGTAGAGAAGATGATCTTTCCAAGAAGATAAAGAATTGACTGACAAGATGTGTTTTTTTTTAATCTGTTGTATATATTATCCTAATTTTATAATTTCATTCCATGTCTGATGCTCAGTTGCTTATAGTCATACCTCCATAGAAATGTTAGCAAATGAGAGGGGAGTGGGTAAGATTCTTAGAGGGGACATATGGCCCAAGTCTGTAAATTGTCGATTAATCTTGGAAGGCATCTTAAGGGTACTTTATTTTTTTTTATTAATTAATTAATTAATTAAAAAATTTTTGGCTGTGTTAGGTCTCCGTTGCTGCATGCCGGCTTTCTCTGGTTGCGCCAGGCGGGGGCTACTCTTCATTGCGGTGCACGGGCTTCTCATTGCAGTGGCTTCTCTTGTTGTGGAGCATGGGCTCTAGGCGCATGGGCTTCAGTAGTTGTGGCACGTGGGCTCAGTAGTTGTGGCTCACGGGCTGTAGAGCACAGGCTCAGTAGTTGTGGCGCATGGGCTCAGTTGCTCCGCGGCGTGTGGGATCTTCCTGGACCAGGGATCAAACCCATATTCCCTGCATTGGCAGGCAGATTCTTAACCACTGTGCACCAGGGAATGCTTCTTAAAATAAAGTCAACTTTGTCCAATATTAATATACCTTTGTTTTGAGTAGTGTTTGCATGATATATCATTTTCTATTCCTTGACTTTCAACTTTTCTGAAATCTTATATTTAATATGTATCTTTTGTAAGCAACATATAGTACAGTTTTGATTTCTTTTTCAGTATGACAAACGTTGTCTGTCAATCGTAGTATTTAGTCTGTGTACATTTAATGTAATTATGATATTATTTAGGCTTAAATCTACTCTCTCTGTTTTCTATTTGTGTCACCTGTTCTATGTTCTTTTGCCTCTACTTTCTGGCTTTCTTCTGACTTGGCAGTTGTCTCAAGGAGAAAAGTGTGTTGAGTGTCAGGCTCACCTCTCTGGGCTTCCCTTCTCTCTGGGATCTAGGCCACTCAAGACCTCATTACTTTGGTAGGTCTCTGATACCTTCACAGAAACGTTTTTAAAATATTTTCTTTAAGAACCATGGCTCTGGTGTCAGACTTTCTGGGTTTTTTTCCCCAGGGGTGTCACTTAACACTTAACAGCTGTGTAATCTTGGACTAACTGTTTTTAATGCTTCATCTATAAATGGGTGTCATCACAGTCTATCAAGATTGTTGAGGTAGATTCACATATGAAAAGCATGTATGATAGTGCCTGATACAGAGTAAGCACTCAATGGCTGTTAGCTATTTTTATTATCAGTGGAGTGCCATAACTCTGAACATTACTGTTGAATAAAAAAGGGTAGTTGGTATGAGACACGGATGTAGTGAAAGGCATAGGTCCTTACCCTCAAGAAGTTTCTTGTCTAGTTGGGGAGATAGGAAATTAACGGGGGATATAAAGTAATGATGTGGATTTCCGAGTATCACTTTGGAGTCAATTTCATTACTCAGCATAGTGGAAAAAGACCATGGGCTATGAAGCTAGACAGATTTGGACTGGGGTTCAAATTTGGCTTCTGCCACTAACCAATTATGACTTTGGTAAATTATTTCCCTTTGTTGTATTTTTCCTATTTCTATAATGAGGTTGGTACTGCATAGGGTTGTTGTGAAGGTTGAATTAAGTAAAATAATCATGCAAAAATATGGGCATTCAACAAATGCTTGTTCCTTTTTTCCACTCTTTCTATAATACAGTAGACTAAGTTAGGCGTTAGGGGAGGACCCAGAACAATAATATCAGGGTAGGGAGAATTCAGGGAAGAGAAGGGTCTTGTGTGCAGGTGTGACCAATGATGACTTACAGGGAGATAGGATCTAAGCTCATTTCTTGAAGGCGAGGGAGAGCAGTTAGAAAACACAGACAGGAGGGGAGAATGTGAGCCAAGGCACGGGGCCAGAATGGGGTGACTATGTGTTTTGAAAGACCTGAGAGTCTCGGAGGGCCTCTATATAAGATCTTTCACACTCGTCATTCTTTTAAATCCTCACAGCACCTCTGAGTTTGGCACCATTGCCTCCACTGAGCGAAATGGAGGCTTAAAGGCTTGCCCAATTGCCACATACCCTATAGAGAGGAAATGGGACTCAATCCTGCATTTTCTAACTCCAGGCAGTCAGATGGAGGTGTGCAGCTTTTGGGATGAAAGACTGTGGCTGGATGCGGATGGGCTTACAGCCAAGATAGGAGTTTTTTGTCTGTTTAAATAGATAGTGTTCCACTCCCAAAGCTTTGTAACAGCAGATTTCAGGTAACTGGTATTTTAAGAATATTTATCTGGCGGAATTTGAAGCCAAGGAAACCAATTAGGAGCCCCTCGCTGTGGTCTGGGCTGGAGGGGTTGACCTGTGAGTCTCGAGGGGCACCTCTGGCTGGAGAGGAGTGAGGGGATAAGGGGAGTAGATTGACTGGGGCCCGCTTTCTCCTTATGCCTTCGGAATTTGAGATGAATTGCTGGAGGGCTCCTCTTACTGAATTCTCCTCAGAGGAGTCCTGATTCCAGGGGTAGCAGAACCAGAAGACAAAGAAAAGAGAAAACAAGAAATCTTGCCCTTAGCACGGGTAAGAGGAG